TATCTAATATTATATAATATAAAACATTATCAGTTATAATATATTATTGTTTATCTTTATATATGTTGTATATTTATGTTTAAATTCATATGTATATAATTATACACATTTATGCATGTTCAAATTCATAAAATGTAAATATATAATATAAATATACAATTTATATTTTAAATAATCTTATATATATATATATATATTTATATATATATAACCATAACAAACACATAAAACATTACAAATAAAACATAATATAAATAATAAAACAAACATGATAAAATACAATGTCAATTTACATTGACATTCTCATGAGACACTAATTTTGATAACACTTTACAATAAGGTTTCATTTGTTAACGTTAGTTAATGTATTTACTAACATGAACTAACAGTAAGCAATATATTGTTTGTAACATTTAATCATCATTGTCAAGTTCATAAAGATACAATTGTTCATGTTCACTGAGCACTATCTAATGTTAGCAAATACAGCTTTTAATTTTAACAATGTTTTAGTAAATGTTGAAATTAACTAGGCCTGTCGCAATAATCAATATATTGTCTTATTGCGCAATATATGTACATGACCTCAATAATTTTTGGTGACGCAATATATCGCCCATTATATTTACTTAAAGATTAATGTCACCATGTTTTGTACATTCCACTTGCTCCTGTGTCTTCTGCAGCTTCTCGTACATAACGTGGTGTAGTCATGAGGTGCTCGTTCAAATTTTAAAAATGCTTCTATAAACAATGTTTCATCTGCAGATATGATCTTGTTTAGGTATCTGTGCCTTTGTGCGTACGGACATCTGACTGCTGAGTAGTGATTGTGTTTTTCAGCAATAGTGTGCACCTTTAACTTACAGAGAAAAGAAGGTCAGGGAAAAATCTGTAGATGGAAAAATCTCCATACAAGTTCTTTGTGCATTTGTCTTTTTTTCTACTTGTTACTTTGCACTTTTTGTTAGAAAAAGTTTTTTTTACTATTTATTCAGGTTTTTAAGGTATCTAATATTTTGATACTTAATCTCCACGATCTAAATATTCTTAAAAATTAAAAGTTTGTTGTCATTTGGAAGTGTGTAGGCCTTCTTGCATTATTATGCTGTTACATTATGATTATATATTCAGTGGCATAAAATGGTCTTTAAAATGACAATAATATCGCTTATCGCAATTATTTCTGTGGCAATATATCGCACAACAAAAAGTTATCATGACAGGCCTAAAATTAACAAGACTAATGAATGTTGCAGTTTAATTGTTGATGTTCATGAACCCTTACTGTACAGTGTTACTGTATGTGCGTTGCATACCGTTTCATCGTTGAGCAGCAGTGGGTGTGTGGACTCCTCCCCTACTGACGGTAACCTAGTGCTGCCCACTGAAGGGTGGCGGCTGGATGGCTGCGAGGAGGCGTCACCGAATGACGGGTAACGGCCGATCCCATTGGCTACCGTTGGGACAGAGTAACCGGGAGCTGCAGAGAGAGCGGATGAGGGGTTAGTGAGAGACTCCAGTCTGAGCGTGAGGACTGGATTGTGTGTGTGTGTGTGTTCTTACTGGTGGGAGTGTGAGGCATCACTGGAAGCTCAGGCTCCAGCACGGGCTCCTCCACCACACTGATGCTGTTGTTGTGCATGATGTCCTGCAGCATGTTAAAGATCTCCTCGGCCCGCGCACACTTGAATGCAAATATCCCTGAGAGGAGAAGAGTGAAGTATGAATGTGAATGACACAACAATATCTGATAGAGAGTGACCAGGTTAAAAGAAAAAGCCTCACCTTGACCGGTTTGGCAGCGCCGGCCGCTCTCGAAGGAGAAGAGGTTGGAGTCGTAACCATAGCGACGCAGGCAGAGGTAGGGCCACTTCACGGCGTCTCGTTTGCGCGTGTGCAGAATGAGCTCTTCCTCCGTTAACTCCATCACACCCGAGCCCAGCTCATTACCGTCATCATCCACGTTTATCACCTACACACACACACACATACTCAGCATCTACACACCTCTGAACACAACTTAAAATACATGTTATGAATTTTTAATTTTAATAATTTTATATTACTGAATGATAAATAATTATTAATATAAATAACATAATTATAAATTATTTATATAATATGTGTGAGAATATATATGATAAATAATATAATTTCTATGAATAAATGTTAAATCATTAATTAATATGGAATAATATAATCTAGTTTCTACCTAAATGTCTATTAAATTCTATTTAAATTGTACATAAAAATACAAGATAC